CATGGTCAGCGGGGGCGGGTGCCGGCGCCGCTCCACAGCCGGGGCCCTGGGACCCGCCGCACTCCCTGAAGCACCTGCGGGCAACGGAGGGACTGCGGCTCCGAATACAGCACCCGGATCCAGCGCTGCCAGCCCTGGAATCGCCTCCGGCACCAACCCCACAGCTTCAAAGGCCCCAGCACTGGGAGGACAAGCCACTCCTAGCCCCTTACCCCAGGGATCAGCCATGCTCAGCCCCAGAGGGAGCAGCCACCCCTCACCTGGCAGAGGCTCCATGGCAAGCACCCAGCTCAGCTCAGAGCCACACCGTCCCAGGCAGCAGAGCCAGCCTGTGGCTGCCCCCACCATCTTTAAGCATTGGCCAGGCCCCATGTGCAGCCAGTTGCCCTGATTAGGGCTTAGGTGCCCACAGCTGCAGGCTGCTGCCTTGGGAGCAGCTGGGTGCTGGAACGGAGCCAGGCACAAGGTGGGAATGGGCTAATGGCCATGGGGTACGTGCCCACCATGAGCCAGTCCCACTGCTGCTGCAGGAAGGGGGCTCCATGTGCTCTCCTGCTCCTGCGGCTCCTGATGGTGTCCAGCACCTGGGCCAGGCTCCCATGAAGCCGCCCGTGCCGCGAGCAAGCCCCGAGCCCTTCCTCCCTTCCCTCCAAAACCCGCAGCGGCTGAATCAGACATCAGCCCAAACGCTGAATTATTCATAAGCCCCTAATCTTTAGATTTCACTGAATATGCAGAAGTATCGATAAAAAAAATAATGAGAGAATTGTACTTGCAAATTGCTCTTTATTAAAGGTTTAACTTGCGTGGTTTCTATATGTTCCCTATCAGACCCAGCAAAGCTGCATAGGATTAGAAATCAGAGAGGATAATAATGTACAAAAATAGTTTCAAATGTTGATAACACTGAACAGCGAGAAAAACATCTTATTTGTATAGCTGAGCTAAAAATAAAAACGAAGAACACTGCTACAATTGCAGCACGCCGTCTTGTAGCGCGTGAAGCGTATGCGGCTGCCTCCAGCCATCTGCTCGCCGCCTC